AGAAAAACTACAAAAACAACCACAAAATGGATATATATATATCAACAATTTCTTTGAATGTAAATGGACTAAATTCTCCAATCAATCAAAAGACATAGGGTGACAGAGTTGATTAAAAAACAACAACAACAACAACAACAAGACCCTCTATATGCTCCCTACAAAAGATTCATTTCAGGCCTAAAGACACCTGCAGATTGAAAGTGAGGGGACAGAAAAAACATTTATAATGCAAGTATATAAAAATATACATATATGTATAATGCAAGTGTATGTCACAAGAACTCCAGAGTAGCAATAGTTTTATTAGGCAAAATAGACTTTAAAACAAAGTCTGAAAAAAATAGAGACACTTGGGTGGCTCAGTGATTGAGCATCTGCCTTTGGCTCAGGGCATGATTCTGGGGTCCTGGGATCGAGTCCCATATTGGGCTCCCCACAGGGAGCCTGCTTCTCCCTCTGCCTATGGCTCTGCCTCTCTCCCTGTGTCTCTCATGAATAAATAAAATCTGTTTTAAAAAATAAGTTTAAAAAAATTAAAAAACAAATTATGTAAAAAGAAACAAAGGACATTATATAATAATTAATAATAATAAACAATCTAACAAGAAGATATAACAGCTATAAATATATATGCACCCAACATGGGAGCAGCCAAATATGTTAATAACAAACATTAAGGAACTAATTGATAGTAATACAACAATAGTATGGGGCTTCATGCTTAGCAAGGAGTCTGCTTGAGATTCTCTCTCTCCCTCTGCCCCTCCCTGCCCCATGCTCTCTTATTCTTTAAAATAAATAAATAAGTATTTTTAAAAATAGTAGGGAACTTTTAACACCCCACTTGATCAATAGACAGATCATCCAAACAGAAAATCAACAAAGAAACAGTGGCTTTGAATGACACTGGAATAGATGGATTTAACAGATATATTCAGAATATTCCATCCTAAAACAGCGGAATATACATTTTTTTCAAGTGTACATGAAACATTAGCCAGAATAGATAACATATTATGCCACAAAACAAGCTTCAACAAATTCAAAAAGATCGAAGTCATACCATGCAACTTTTCTGACCCCAAAGCTCTGAAACTAGAAGTTAACCACAAGAAAAAAACTGGAAAGACCACAAATATACAGAGGTTGAATAACACGCTACTAAACAATGAACAGGGGGACGCCTGGGTGGCTCAGCAGTTGAGTGTCCACCTTTGTCTCAGGGTGCGGTCCCAGGGTCCTGGGATGGAGTCCCACATCAGGCTTCCTGCGTGGAGCCTTCTTCTCTCTCTGCCTATGTCTCTGCCTCTCTCTCTCTATGTCTCTCATGAATAAATAAATAAAAATCTTAAAAAAAAACAATGAATGGGTCAGCTAAGAAATCAAAAAGTACATGGAAACAAATGAAAATAAAAACACAATGGTCCAAAACGTTCGGATGCAGCAAAAATAGTTCTAAGAAGGAAGGTTATAGCAATACAGGCCTAACTCAAGAAACCAGAAAAATCTCAAATGAACAACCTAATCTTGCACCTAAAGTAGCTAGAAAAAGAATAACAAATGAAACCCCAAGCCAGCAGAAGGATAGAAATAATAAAGATTAGAGCAGAAATAAATGATATAGAAACTAAAAACCAATCGATCAATGAAACCAGGAGCTGTTTCTTTGAAAAGATCAACAAGGGGCACCTGGGTGGCTCAGTCATTTAAGTGTTCAACTCTTGATCTCACCTTGCATCTTGGTATCAGGTTCATGAATTCAAGCCCTGCATCGTGGAGCCTACTTAATGAATGAAGGAAGAGAGAAAGAGAGGGAGGGAGAAAGGATCAACAAAACTGATAAACCTCTAACCAGACTCATTAAAAGAGAGAGGGGGGGGATGGGAGGGGGAGAGGACACAAAGCAGCAAAGTCAAAAATGAAAGAGAAATAACAACCAACACCACAGAAATACAAGCAATTGTAAGAATATTCTGAAAAACTATATGCCAAAAAATTAGACAACCTAGAAGAAATGGATAAATTCCGAGAAACATAGCCTATCAAAACTGAAGCAGGAAGAAATAAAAAATTTGAACAGATTGATTTACTGGCTCAGTGGTTGAGTGTCTGCCTTGGGCTCAGGTTGTGATCCCTAGGTCCTGGGATGAAGTCCCGCATCAGGCTCCCTGCAGGGAGCCTGCTTCTCCCTCTGCCTATGTTTCTGCCTCTCTCTGTGTGTCTCTCATGAATAAATAAATATTTTTTAAAAAAAAATACCCATTCTGGGGATCCCTGGGTGGCTCAGCGGTTTAGTGCCTGCCTTTGGTCCAGGGCACAATCCTGGAGTCCCGGGATCGAGTTCCGCATGGGGTTCCCGGCATGGAGCCTGCTTCTCCCTCCTCTTGTGTCTCTGCCCCTCTCTCTCTTTCTATGCCTATCATAAATAAATAAAAATAAATAAATAAAAATACTCATTCTACTCAAACTATTCCAAAAATAGAAGGAAAAACTCCAAACTCATTCTATAAGGCCAGCATCACTCTGATACCAAAAACAGATAAAGACATCACCAAGAGAGAGAGAGAGAGAGAGAGAGCACTATAGACCAATATCTCTGGTGAACAAATGTAAAAATCCTCAACAAAATACAAACAGAATCCAATAATACATTTAAAAAATCATTCACCACGTTCAAATGGGATTTATTCCCAGGATTCAGGGGTAGTTCAATATTTGCAAATCAATGTGATACATCACACTGATAAAAGATAAAAATCATATGATCATTTCAGTAGATGCAGAAAAAGGATTTGACAAAGTGCAACATCCATTCACAATTAAAGCCCTTAACAAAGTAGGTTCATACCTCAATATAAGAAAGGCCCATATATGGAGGCACCTGGGTGCCCCAGTCAGTTAAGCAACTAACTCCTGGTTTCAGCTCAGGTCATGATCTCAGGGTCATAAGACTGAGTCCCATGTTGGGCTCTGTGCTCAGTGAGGAGTCTGCTTGAAGATTCCTTTCTTATCTTCCAGGTTCTGCTGGCTCCAGGTGTTCTTTGGCTTGTGGTTGTGTCACTTCAGTCTCTTATGAGGAAGGAATGTGCCTCACCAGGCTATCCCTCAGCTCTGTTACTAACTTAATAGTAAAAGAAATAAAGATTTCTGGCTTTGTTGGGTCTTCATTCCTTCATGTCCACAACTGGCTGAAATCCTTGGATGGAATATGCCTTTCTAAACTGCCACTGTCTCCCCTCCTTTTTTTTTTTTTTGTCTGTCGAGAACTTGCCTCTTCCCCAATGATTAACCCCAGAAGACCACCCTTTCCAGGGGGACCCTGTCCCTTACCCATGGAAGTGAGACCTTATCCTGACACATATTAATAGGGCAACAAGTCACAAATTACCACAATCTCCCCTCCCCCTCTTTGAATGTTTGGACTTTACGGGCAGTTGAGTTTACAACCACTACTTCGACCCATTCTTGTAGCCAAACAAAAAAGAAAATATATTCATTTATTCATCCAACAAGTATTTACTGTGCATGTATTATGTGCAAGCCATTGCTCCAAGCTCAAGAGATGGACACAAATATAGATTATATTCTTTGCTCACAATTATTTATTCCCTTCTTGAGCATGGCTTCCTAGCAGTAGAAGAATACATTCATGCCCCTTTTCTTGCGGCTTAGCAGAGCCTCCCAACAGAGTAGTGGGAGTATACTTCAAACAAAAAAGAAATAAAAAATAACTTGAAACAAATGAAAATGGAAACACAATTACCAAAACTTGTGGGATGCATCAAAAGCAGTTTGAAGAGGAAAGTTTCTAGTGATAAATGCCTTCACTAAGAAAAAAGAAAGATCTCAAACAACCTAACTTTACACTTCAAAAAACTAGGGGGAAAAAAACCTAAGCTCAAAGCTATAGAAAGAAGGAAATAACAAAGATTAGAATAGAAATAAAGGAAATAGAGACCAGAAAAACAGTTTTTAAAAGATCAACAAAACTAAGCCGGCTTTTTGAAAAGATAAACTAATTTATTTTTTTAGTAGAATTTTACTTTAATATGTGAAAACAAACAAACAAACACCCAAAACCCTAATAGGGTAAAACAAGTCAAACAACCACTCTACACAGATAAAACCTTCACAAAGGTCAACTGAAGTAATCCAGAGCTAAAACTGAATTGTGCAGATTTTTGATGAAGTCACCAGTCATGTAACACAAACAAAAGTCAATTATTTACACACTAGGCAAGCCCTCCAAGAAGCATTAACCTTGGTTTTTTTGTGTGTGCCATCCTGAAGACTTGCACATTTTTTTAAGATAATTTAACCTTTTTAACAGAATGTGATCTCTACCAGGTGGTAATGCTTTGGTACTATTCATCTAGGACTGCTCATCCTAAAACTTGACATTTCCCCAAAGATTTGACTCTGCTTTAGAAGTTTCAATATAGATAAAAATCTTTTATCAAATATCAATATGGAGGTGACATAGGATGCAACATATACAGTCAGGTTACCTCTCTGTGTATTTAGAGATTACTCCTTCAAGGTATTTGCGCCAGAGCTTAGTCTGTCCTGCTTCATATTCAGTAGTACAGGTTTGAATCATCAGAACCTTGGCAAGACCTTATTTTTTCAGAATTATTAACAACTACCTCTAGGGGCAAGTCCATGTTACTGAGTTATGACAAATTTATTATCATGAAGGAAAACAAGGATAGCCGTCTTAAAAAATGCCCCAACCACTGCTTCTCAATATAGAAAGACTAAAACTACATACGTTTATCATACAACAAGTCCCATCTCTGTCCCCTGAAATTCCCCTAGTTTCATTCATTAGAAGGGGATTAAAAAAAAAAAGACTTAAAGAGCACTTTACAGCAGCATTCAGCTTTCCTATGAAATACTCAGCATCTTAAATATTATGTACACTTCTTTTTTTTCTTTCAGTAAGCTAGACACTGGCTTCTGAATTTATGGAACTGGAGAAGAAATAACTCATTCAAAACTATTCTAGAAATTGTCTTTTGGCAGAATAGCATGTATCCAAGTTAAAAATAGGAGGGTTTTGTTGCTTTGTTTTCTTTCCAAAATTTAAATCATTTTTGTTCCCCTTCTACCTAAACCTCAGTCACCACTCCTGAGTGGAGATGGGCAGAGGCTCTGGCCCCTGCTCCTCCAGCTTCTCAGCAGCTGCTTTCTTGTTGCTGCAGCAAGGCTTGAATAGATGTGTGTCAATGAGGACTTCCTCAAAACGGCCTTTATAGATAATTCCACAACATATTTTCTGTCTTTTCCAGTATGTGAGATCTAAAAAGGAAAAAACCGGTGTTCTGTTAGAGCCAGAGGCCATCTCTGTGTCTGAGCCATCATCTGACTGGTTACTATAACAAGGAGATTGAGCTGGGGAGGCACTTGAGGTGGTACTATGAGCGTCAGAATTGTGATGTTTAAATTCCTTCTGTAGTTTACTGATCTGGTTGCTTTTTATCCTGTTTCCAGATAGAGTTTTCGCTTTCTTTGGTTTCAAAGTAGTCTTCAGACTGGGTCCTGCCCTTGCATCTACCACATGATTCCAGTTTTTTTTTAATCCTGCTGGCAACTTCTTCCATCTTTTCACAAGCAGGACACAGGCATTACAGAGGTCTCCTGAACGAGTTTCATGCAACTCAAAACAGCTCTGGAAGTCCTTTTCATAGCGTTTACTGTCAGTGAATCGAGAACTGGAGGACTTCGCTCTGCAAATACAGCAGCCCTCTATACTTCGGTACATCTTTGGCTTGTGAAAACCAAACATCTTTTCTTCTGGGCAATAGTCTCCCCAAGGCAGCCGTTCCACGCGCAATAATGTTCCCGAGGTGCGGAGTGCATGCCAAGCCAACCCCCCCCCCTCCAATTGCTCCCTCCTCCTCAACTGCCTTGTCTAGAAAGATTGTCTCCTGCAGTTCTGCAGTTGCTACCGCTGGCCGGGAAGGTGTAGATTCCGCTTTCCCTCTGACAAGATAAACTAAATTGACAAAGTTTTAGCTAGACTAAGAGAGAAGACTCATAAATGAAATCAGTAATGAAAGAGGAGATATCTGTGTGATATTATGTGTCTGATGTCACAGAAACACAAAGGATCATGAGAGACAATGTTAAGAGAACACCAAAACAAGTGGACAATCTAGAAGAAATGGATAAATTTCTAGAAATATACAATTTACCAAGACTTAATTACAAAAAAAATAGAAAATCTGAACAGATCAACAATGGGTAAGGAGATTGAATCAGTAATTTAAAATTTCCAAAAAAAGAAAGCCAAGGGCCAGATAGCTTCACTGGAGAATTCTACTAAGCATTTAAAGAATAATTAATGCCAATACTCATTGAACTTCCAAAAAATTAAAGAGAAAGGAGCACTTACTTCCCTTTTTGTTTTTTTAAGATTTTATTTATTCATTCATGGGAGACACAGAGAGAGAGAGAGGCAGAGACACAGGCAGAGGGAGAAGCAGGCTCCGTGCAGCGATCCCTGGTCTCCAGGATCAGGCCCTGGGCTGAAGGCGGTACTAAACCGCTGAGCCACCAGGGCTGCCTGGAACACTTACTTCCAAACTCATTTTAAGAGGCTAGCACTACCCCAATACCAAAACCAGATAAGGGATGGTAAAGAAAGAAAACAACAGGCCAATATCTCTGATCAATATGAATGCAAAAATTCTCTTACATATTAGCAAATATCTCTTAATTTTATCTCTTAAAATATTAGCAAATCAAATTCTACAGCACATTAAAAGTACCATATACTGAGGCACCGGGGTGGCTCAGTGGTTGAGCATCTGCCTTTGGCTCAGGGCATGATCCCAGGGTCCTGGGATTGAGTCCCACATCAGGCTCCCCCTGGGGGGCCTGGTTCTCCCTCTGCCTATGTCTCTGCCTCTCTCTCTGTGTTTCTCATGAATAAATAAATTAAATCTTAAAAAAAAAAAGAACGCTGTCATCATCTCAATAGATGTAGAAAAAGCATTTGACAAAATACAACATCCTTTCATGATAAAAACTCTCAATAAATTGGGCATGGAAGGAACATATGTCAGCATACATGACAAGCCAACAACTGACACTGTATTTAATGGTGAAAGGTTAAAAGCTTTTCCTCTAAATCAGGAACAAAACAAGGGTACCCCCTTTCACCACTCCTAGTCAACATATACTGGAAGTGTTAGCCAGAGCAATTAGGCAAGGGAAAAAAAGATATACAAATTGGAAAGGAAGTAAAATTGTCTTTATAGATATAGCATATGTTATATATATTATAGATGTTATATATAAGAAATCCTAAAGGCTCCACAAAAAAACTGTTAGAACTAATCAACCAATTCAGGGGTACCTAGTTGGCTCAGTCTATTAAGCATCTAATTCTTGACTCCAACTCAGGTCATGATCTCAGGGTTGTGGGATAGAGCTGCACACTTAGTGGAGAGTCTGCTTAAGAATCTCTCTCTCCTTCTCCCTCTGCCCCTCCCCGCTGTGCATGCACTTTCTTCTAAAACAAATCTTTTTTAAAAAAGAACTAATCAAGAAATTCAGTAGAGTAGCTGGATACAAAATCAACATACAGAAATCAGTTTCATTTCTTTTTTTTTCTTTTTTTTAAAGATTTCATTTATTTATTTGAGAGAAAGCACAAGCAGGTGGAGGAGCAGAGGGAGAGGGACAAGCAGACTCCCCACTGAGCACAGAGCCAGACATGAAGCCCAGTCCCAGGATCATGACCTGAACCAAAGTCAGGAGCTTAACGACTGAGCCACCCAGGTGCCCTTCAGCTGCATTTCTAAATACTAACACTAAAATACCTGAAAAATAAAGAAAATTACTCCATTCACGATAATATCAAAAACAATAAAATACTCAGGAATAAATTTAACCAAGGAGATGAAGGAGTCACTCTGTACACTGAAAATTTTAAGACTTTGATGAAAGAAATTGAAGACACAAATAAATGGGAATGTGTCCTAAGTGTCCCATGGATTGGAATAATTAATCTTGTTAAAATTTCCATACTATCCAAGGCCATCTATAGATTTAATATAATCTTTATCAAAATTCTAAAGGGATTTTTCACAGAAACAGAAAAATAAATCCTAAAATTCATATAAACCACAAAAGACTCCAAATAACCAAAGCAATCCTAAGAAAGAAGAGGGATACCTGGGTGGCTCAGTTGGTTGAGTATTCAGCTCTTGGTTTGGGTTCAGGTCATGTTCTCATGGGTCCTGACATCAAGCCCCTCATCGGGATCTGCATTCCACAGGGAGTCTGCTTGGGATTCTCTCCCTCTGCCTCTCTCCCAAATCATGCACTTTCCCTCTCTCTCTCTCTCTCTCTCTCTCAAATAAATAAGTAAATCTTTTAAAAAGAAGAAGAAGAACAAGGCTACTCTTCCTGATTTCAAACCATACTACAAATCTATCATAATCAAAACAATATGATACTGGCATAGATACATAGACCAACAGAACATAATTGAGAGCCCAGAAATAAACCTTCACATCTGTGGTCAACCAATATTTGACAAGAGCCCCAAGAATACTCAGTGGAAAAAAGATAATCTCTTCAAGAAATGGTGTTGGGAAACCTGGATAATCACATGCAGAGGAGTAAAATCGGACTTCTATCTTACCCCACTTGCAAGTTAACTCAAAATATATGAAAGATTTAAACATGTGACCTGAAACTGTAAAACTCCTAAAAGAAAACATAGGGGAAAAACCCCTTGACATTGGTGTTGGCAACAATTTTTCTGAGATGACACCGAAAGCACAAGCAACAAAATCAAAACTCATAAGTGGGACTATAGCAAACTAACCTAAAAAACAGAACTCACTGAACCAGAGTAGAATGCTGGTTGCCAAGGATTGGTAAGAGGGGGTGGGAAAAATGGAGAGAGGTAGGTCAAAGAGTACAAACTTTCAGTTATAATAAGAATAAGTCCTGTGGATCTAAGGTACAAAATGGTGACTATAGTTAACAATATCTTATTATATACTTAAAATTTGCTAAGAGAATGGATCTTAAATGTTCTCACCACACACATAGAAAAGGTAGTTACATGAGGTGATGGATATATATAAACTAACCTTATTGTGATTTCATTTCACAAAATAGATAGATGCATATGAAATCATCACATTATACACCTTAAACTAACACTTATTATTTGTCAATTACATCTCAAAGCTGAGGATGGGATAGCTTTAAAACTTTTATACATCAAGGGATACTATCAGGATAGTGAAAAGTCTGGGATCTAATATCCAAAACATATAAAGAATACTTACAACTCCACAATAAAAAGACAACCCAATAAAAAAAAATGGGCAAAGGATTTGAATAGAAATTTCTCCAAAGAAAATATACAAGTGGCCAATAAGCACACAAAAAGATGCTCAACATCATTAATCATTAAGGAAATCCAAATCATAACCACATGAGATACTAGCTCACACCTGGATGCTATAATTTTTTAAATAATAAATAACAAGTATTGATGAAGATATGGAGAAATTGGAATCTCATACATTGCTGGTGGGAATGTAAATAGAGCAGAGGCTGTGTAAAACAGCTTAGCAGTTCCTCTAAAAGGCAATAGAGGGTTACCAAATGACCCAGCAATTCCACTCTTGGGTATTTATTCAAAGAATTGAAAAGATATGTTCACACAAAAACTTATACCTCAATGTTCATAGCAAAATAATTCCTAATAGCCCAGAATATAAATAAGCCAAATACCCAGTGATTAATGGATAAACAAAATGCAGTATATCCATACAATGTAATATTAGTCAATAATGAAGTAGTACTACATGCCACAGCATGAATGACCCTTGGAAACATTAAGCTAAGGAAAGAAGCCAGACACAAAAGGCCACATATTGTATGATTCCATTTATCTGAAACATCCAAAATAGGCAAATCCAAATACAGAAAATAAATTAATGGTTTCCAGGGACTGGGAGTAACTGCTTAATGGATATGTGGGTTTCCCTTTTGGGTGACAGAATGTTCTGGAATTAGGAAGTGACCATAACTGAACAATATTGTGAATATTCTAAACATTATTGTGAATATTCTAAAAACCACTGAGCTATGCACTTTTAAATGGCTAAAATAGTTAATTTTATTTCAATTAAAGAACCTATGCATTTATTATAATATTGTAATATTAAGGTAAACAACAACATGAGTAATAATGGTAATAGAACACCATTGGAAATAAACAGCATCACCTTTTGACTGAGCATTGGCAATTAATAGGAAAGTAGCCTTTCCTGAATGAGTTACATTCTAGGACAACAATTTTTAATTGATAAAGGAAAGTTCTTCCCTAAAGAAATGTTCCAGCTAATAACTGTGGAAGAAATTATGTTAGAAAAAAAGGAGTTAGAAAATGAATTAGAGGGGTGCCTGACTGGCTCAATCAGTGGAGTGGTATGACTCTTGATCCCAAGGTTGTGAGTTTAAGCCCCATGTTGGATATAGAAATTACTTAAATATATATGTATATATATATTTAAAAAAGAAAATGAATTCAAAAAATCACCATCTTGCAGCCACTACTGGAAAAATTGGGTCAGGCAATAATGAATGGATAAAGAAATGTGGTACACATACACAATGGAATATTACTCAGCCATAAAAAAGAATGGAATCTTGCCATTTGCTATGACATGGATGGAGCTAGAGTGTATTATGTTAAGTGAAATAAGTCATTCAGAAAAAGACAAATACCATGTGATTTCACTCATATGTGGAATTTAAGAAGCAAAACAGATAAACATATGGGAGGGGGGAAAATGGAAAAAGA